TATTACTTTTTCCTTATTTAATCTTAATTCCTATTATTTAATCTTCTAATTAAAGAATATAATATTATTATATATTTCTAATTAATAAACTACTTAGTTATTAAGTAAAGAACCTTATCTTAGAGTATTATCTAAAGGTAATATCTAAATACCTATTTTTATAAATAATTAAATAGCTAATATAATATTAGTATAAAATCTAGAAATATAATAGACTTTAGTTAAAATTATTAATTAGTTTTTAGCCTTTTCTATTTTAATAATATTTTTTAAGATTCTCTTCTTAATACTAATAACTATAGTTAAGTAATTACTAGTTCTAAGTATATAATTATTAATTTCTTTATAAGAATTTAAATTAAGAAGAGATTTATTATTTATAATATATATTATAATATAATTATTAAATAATATATATAAGTAATATTTATATTTTCTCTTATTTATTATAATAAAAGAATTAAGTTTTTTTAAAAAAACTATAATAATTAAGTCTATTTCTTATTAACTTAAGTATAAGTCTTTTAATAGATTTTACCTTAAATTTTATAACTTTAAGCTTAAATCTTTTTATTTAAGTATCTTTAAATTATCTAAAATAACTTTTACTTTTAAATTAGTAATTTTAATATTAGGCTTTAATTCTTTAAAATAAACTTTATTAATTACCTTATATTTTTTAGGTATTTATTTATATATCTTATTTTCTTTTTTATATAGATATTTATATTTTTTATTATTATTCTTTTAAGGATTTATATTTTTAGTTTCTTAGTTATTATTATTAAAAACTAGAAATATATTTTTTCTTTTCTTTTTTAAGAATTTATTTTATTTAATATTTTCTTTATATATATTTATAATACTTTTAAGATTATAAGAAAATTCCCTTTTTATTATTAAAGTATTTAAGATATTTCTTTTTATATATTTAACTTAAACTAATATTAGTTTCTCCCTTAAGGCTTTTAAAATATTTATAATTATAATTATTTCTTTAATTTTTAAAATATTATATAATTATATTACTTAATATACTTTTTCTTATTTTTATAACTAACTTTTTATATTATTTAAAGTTATAATTATAATTTCTAAGACTTTTTAATATTATCTAGTAATATTATTTTTTATTATTTAATTATTAGGTATAATAATTAATTTTAGCTCTTTAATATATCTTTTTAATATCTTAAGTTCTAAGGATAGTTTTTTAGATTTAGCTTTTAAATTAATACTTAATTTAGTTCTTTTATATAAATTAATATTAACTATCTTTATTACCTATATCTAAACTTTATTAAAATTATCTTTATATTTTATAATTTTTTTTACTTCTTTTTTTTATCTTTCTCTTATATCTTTATATATAAAAACCTTAATTTAATTATTAATATTTTAAAGATTAATAGTTAAAGTATATTCTTTTTATAACTTATCTTCTAGCTTTTTATAAAAATCCTTCTTAATATAAATAATATTAAAATTTATATATTCTTATATATTCTTAGTTAATATATATAATTTAAACTATATAAACTACTTATATTAATATTTAATATTATAAAGCTTTAGACTTATATAAGTAATTAAATTTAAGACCTTATTAAATATTTTTAGTAATATCTTAATATTAGAATCTTAAATATAAGATATAATTAAATATTTTTAAAGG